GTGATGGGTGATAGTGTGAACGATGTTGATCCATTGACTCAGATGGAAAAGAAAAAACCTTCATTTTAACCCATCCTGATATGTAAAGATTGCTCAAAAAATAATATTTGATCTTAATTTGAGTCATATTGACTTGTGAAGAAAAAAAAAGTTTGCCAGTGGGGTGAGATGTTTTCACTTAAGACAAAATGTCCTGATAAGTTTCTTTTACTTAGGTTTTTATGAAAGTTTAAGTAAAAAATATATTTTTTTCAAGTAGCTGAGGGTTGTTTTTTTGTACAAATTTATGTAAAAATGTCTTTGGCAGTTTTTCAAAAGACAAAATTACTTAAAATAAGGTTTAAAAATATCTGAACGTTAGCTGTTTTGACCAATCAGTATGTTATCTTTTTCAGTGTGAGAACAATCTAAATTTGTACAATGGGGGCGTACTTGAGATATTTTGGAATTATAGTTCAAATAATGTCTTTGTGTTAGTTTCACATTATTTCAATATTATTTTTATTATAAAGAGAAAGATGACTACAGACATTCGAAAATTTGTTAATAAAGTGCATAAACTTTATATAATAAACTGCACAAAAGTAAATAGCCTATCTGTAGGCTACATGCTGAGTGAAACAAAATAGAATAAAGGTTTCTCACTACAGCACAATATTACAATATTACATATACAGCGGGTAAAATAAGTATTGAACACGTCACCATTTTTCTCAGTAAATATATTACTAGAGGTGCTAATGACATGAAATTTTAAATAACGTCTTTGTGTCAGTTTCACATTATTTCAATGTTATTTTTTATAATAAAGAGAAATATGACTACAGACATATGAAAACTTGTTAATAACGTGCATAAACTTTATTTAATAAACTGCACAAAAGTAAATAGCCTATCTGTAGGCTATTCTGAGTGAAACAAAATAGAATAAAGGTTTTTCACTATAGTACAATATTACAATATTAGAATACACAATGGAGGTAACTGAGATGGATTCTATATTTATTTTAGATTTAAAAAATGCTGTTGCAGCCATTAGATTGGAGTGCAGCCATTAAATCGAAATATGTACCAGGTAACAGTGAACATAGGCTTATTGGCATGGTTTATATTTCTGCATAGTTTACATTTCTATTTACAAATACTTTTGTTATATTGTTG